CGTACACCAGAGGAACCAGCAGCAGCAGCAGCAGCAGCAGCAGCAACTGCAGCAGAAGAAGCATCATCATCGTCAACAGCACCATCATCATCAACAGCACCAACAGCAGCAACAGCAGCAACAGCAGCAACAGCAGCAGCAGCAGACTCTTCATTAGAGTTCCCAGAGAGGGCAGACTTAGCTGCGGTGTATGTGCTGCCCCTCTGTAGAGACACAGCAGCAAATATACCATCAAAGGAGACACCTAATTGGGGTGTACGTACACCTCAAGAGGATATAAACAAGAAGGCATGCGTCTCCGCAGCAGCATTCTGCAGCAGCAGCAGCAGCAGCAGCAGATGCTGCTGCTGCAGCTGTGATGTTAGTGTGTATGCATGCATACTCCACTCAAGCGGATCTGTGCTGCAGTGCATGCGCTGGGAAGGGGTTAAACTGCAGCAGCAGCAGCAGCAGCAGCAGCAGCAGCAAAATGGGGTCTTAAGCCACACATGGATCGTGGACCTTCCTCCCCAAGAGAAGGGAAGTCGCGTCTCTTCCTTGGTACGCCTCTAAACCCTAAGCCCTAAACCCTAAACCTAAACCCTAAACCCTAAACCCTAAATTGTGGTTTAGCATTTAGGGTTTGCTGCTGGTGGTGTTTTTGCAGCGATGGATTGAATTAGAGACAGGGACACTCGGGCTTCTTGTTGGTACATCCAGGTACTGCTGCTGCTGCTGCTGCTGCTGCTGTTGACGCTGCTGCTGCTACTGGGGCTGCTGCTGCCGCTGTGGCTGCTGCTGCCGCTGCTGCTGCTGTTGCTAAGAGCGTCACAGGCCGCCACATATGCTGCTGCTGCTGCGCGTTTCCTGTGTTGCTGCTTCTGTCCCTTTTGTCTCAATGCTTGCTGCTGTTGCTGCTGCTGCTGTGTTGCAGTGGCGCGCTGTGTATGTACACCAGGGGAGGTGCTTGCTGCATTTGCTGCTCTTGGCTGCCCCTTCCCCTTCTTGACATCCAGCTGATTAGCAGCAGCAGCAGCAGCAGCAGCAGCAGCAGGTGCAGCAGTAGCAGCAACAGCAGCGATAGCGAACCCCCTGGCTGCCTGGGGGACTCCACCATCTTGCTGCTGCTGTTAGGAGACAGTCATGTTGCTGCTGTCTCTCTAGGTACCCTACGAGCAGCAGCAGCAGCAGCAGCAGCAAAAGCAGCAAAAAGAGCAGCAAAAGGAAAGGACCAGCCACACTTCCTCCATCGCAACATCCATGCAATCTTGACTATGTATGCTGCTGCTGTTGCTGCTGCTGCTGCTGTTGCTGCTGCTGCTGTTGCTGCCGCTGCTGCTGCTGTTTGTATAGGTTGTACTTTCCTTTACGTGTACGTACACCGCAGGTTGGAGAAGCGGGGATATACTGCTGCAGTTGCTGTTGCTGGTGGTGCAGCAGCAGCAGCAGCTGCTGCTGCACCTGCCCCTCCAGATGCAGCAGCATCGAGGGCGATGCGTGAGTTGCTGCAGCAGTTGCAGCAGCCCACGGAGGAACAGCAGCAGAAGGACACAGCAGCAGCAGCAAACAAGAACAAAGAAGGAGACACGCAAACAGGTCTACGAAGGAGGGGCCCCCTCGCCTTGGAGGCCTCGAAGCACAAGCAGCAGCAGCAGCAGCAGGAGCAGCAGGAGCAGCAGCAGCAGGAGCCCTCTTCGCCGACCCCTTTATCTCCAGGTTCCAGCGGCGAGCTGGAGCAGCAACAGGAGAAGCAGAAGCAGCAGCAGCAGCAGGAGCAGCAGTTGCTGCTGCTGGCTGCTGGTGCGGATCCGCTGCTGTCTCTTCATTGCCTCTCCCTGCAGCAAAAGGAGACACCTCGTTTTACCTTCTTAGCTGTTGCTGCTGCTGCTGCTGCTGGACGACTTGCTGCTGCTGCTGCTAGGGGGGCTCTCAGCTTCCTTAGATCCAGTCCTACGCAGCAACAACTGCAGCAACAGCAACAGCAGCAGCAGCAACAGCAGCAGCAGCAGCAGAAAAAAAAGGAGCAGCAGGGATCTAGAAGCTCCAGTGATACAGAGGACTTTAATATATGTGCGTTGCTGCTGTTGCTGTTGCTGTTGCTGCTGCTGCTGCTGCTGCTGCTGCTGCTACCATTGTTGCTGTTCTTATTACTGAGGCACGGGACGAAAATTCTTGCTGCTGCTGTGGTTGCTGCTGCTGCTGCTGCCGCTGCTGCTGCTGTGCTGCAGTAGAGGCCCCTCTGCTGCAGGTTGGTTGGGTAGACAAAGAGAGGAAGGCCATGAGGATTTGTCTCTGTCCTTGGGACCCCACACTTGCTGCTCTTGCTGACTCTCTAGGCAGAGTAAGTACAGCAGCAGCAGCAGCAACAACAACAGCAACAGCAGCAGCACCTGCAGGGGTTGCTGCTGCTGCTTCTGCTTCCTTTGCTGCTGGTGATGAATGCTGCTGGTGATACTGCTTTTCTTATTTTCTCTGCTGCAGCAGCAGATGCTGCTGCTACTGCTGGTGCTGCAAATGCTACTGCAGCAGCAGCAGCAGCAGCTGCTGCTGCTGCAGCAACTACTGCAGCAGCCTCTTCATAGAGTATATCCTTGTGTCTGTCTCCTGTTGCTGTTTATTAGGTGAGTATTTTATGTGTCTCCTCCTTGCTGCCTTTATTTATGCATAAGGGATACAGGAGGGCCTTCTTAGTTTGGCTACAGCGCCCTTATTTGCAGTGTACAGACGCCTCTGCTGCTGCTGCTGCTGCTGCTGATGCTGATGTGCATGCACAAAGCAGCAGAACAGGAGGGCTGCTGATATTCGCTCCAAAACGAGGTAAGACACGGTTGCCACTCCTGCTGCTGCTGCTGCAGCAGCAGCAGCAGCAAATATTTCGCTGCTGCTTCTGGGGTACAGCCACAAACCTGGAGGGCCCCAGGGGCCCCTAGAGAAAGAATGATATTAGGGGGGCCCCTATAGACCAGCTTTGTCTCGCTGCTGCCTCCCCTGCAGCAGCAGGAAGTAGAACTGTGCAGCTGCTGTGCCGTTGCTGCTGCATTTGTAGCTGCTGTTGTTGCTGCTGCTGCTGCTGTTGCTGCTGCTGCTGTGTCCTTAGGTCTGTTGGAGCTGTTTAGTGGGGTGTCGCAGCAGCGGCTGGCAGTTGCGCTGTATATACACCAGGAGGCGCTGCTGCTTGCATGCTGTGCTGCTGCAGTAGGTTGCTGCTGCTGCTGCTGCCAGCGCAGCAGCAGCTTTTGCTTCCTATTGGATAAAGAGGGACTTGCCCTTGTACAGTGGCCTACAGGTCTATAGGCCAAACATTCCTTCTTTTTTGAGTCTAGGGTTTACTGTTTAGGGTTTAGGGTTTAGGATTAAGGGTCTAGGGTTTAGGGTTTAGGGTTTAGGGTTTAGCTCGTAGTCATTCTGCTGCTTCTTTTATTGCAAACCCTAATTATTAAGGAAACCCTAATTATTAAGGAAACCCTAATTATTATACAAACCCTAATTATTATACAAACCCTAATTATTTATTAATGTACAATAATAATAATAATAATAATAATAATAATAATAATAATAATAATAATAATAATAATAATAATAAACCCTAATTAATAAACAAATATAAGCAAACCCTAATTATTAAAAAAGTTTTTTTCTTAAGAAAACCCTAATTATGCAGCGAGGCATTCATCGATCCATACTGGGGGGGCCCCCTGGGGGCCCCCATGGGGCCCCCTATGAGGGCCCCGGGGGCCCCTCAGGACTTCGTTTACATTTTTATATATTATTTTTTATTTTAGTGTATAAAAAGATAAAAATGATCTGCCTATACACCTGAATTTGTTATAGGGGAAGAAAGGAGGAGGGGGGCCCATGGCAAGGGAACAACAATGCCCGTCAGCAGCAAGAAGGCTGCTGCTGTTGCTGCAGCAGCAGCAGCAGCAGCTGCTGCTGCTGCCTATTTCATTTTAAGGGCTCGAAAGGTACACTGCAGCAGCAGAAGCAACGACGATAACAGCAGCAGCACCACCACCATTACCACCTCCAGCAGCAGCAACAGTACCAACAGCAGCAGCAGCAGCAGTAGCAGCAGCAGCAGCAGTGTTGGGGTGTATATACACTTTGGCTCGGAGACAGGTACAGCAGAAAGAGTTAGCGAATTATTGGCGTCAACTCTTCGTTCTCTAGATGGGCCTGCTGCTGTCTCCGTCTCCGATCTAGAGGTACACTGCTGCTGCTGCTGCTGCTGCTGCTGCTGCTGCTGTTGCGGTTGCTGCTGCTACTGCTGTTGAGTACACCATCCTATGCTTCTTCAACACGCAATTGGTTTCTCCCTTATCCATGGCTGCTGCTGTTGCTGCATCTGCTGCTGTTGCTGCTGCTGCTGCTGCTGCTATCGATCATGCTCATTGTCTGCCATTCTCGATCTCCCTTCAGCAGCCGCAACAGCAACAGCAGCAGCAACAGCTGCTGCTGCACCTGCAGCAGCAGCAGTAACAAGACTACTGCCTGCGGTGTACATACACTGCATGCGCTTCTTGTCTATGCATGCACACAGGATTTCTCTCCTGCTAACTTTTTGCTGCCTGCTGCTGCATGTGAGGGGCCCCCTAGTGGGGCCCTAAAAGGCGACGGGAGGCCCTGGGGGCCCCTAGGGGTAAAGGGGCCCCTCCCTTTGAGGGTACTAGTGCTAGCTACCCATGGGGAGGGAGAAGCGACAACTAGTGCGCAGCAATTTGAAGGATGGGTAAGCAGCAGCAGCAGCAGCAAGTGCAGCAGCAGGTGCAGCAGCAGCAAGTGCAGCAGCAGGTGCAGCAGCAGCTACTGCTGCACCTGAAGCAGGAGACACAGGATAACCTTCCAGTAGATGCCACGGCACATACCATTTCTTTTATTTGCTTTGTGTCCCTGCATTGCTGCTGCTGCTGCTGCTGCTGCTGCTGCTGCTGCTGTGCTGCTGTTGCTGCTGCAGTTGAAGGGTTTCTGCAAGTGGCTACGGCAGCTGCATCTGCAGGCTATACAAAGAAAGGACTTTGCTGCTGCCCTATCTCTGCTGCAGCAGCGAGCAGCTGCTGTGCAGAAGGAGGAGGAGGAGCAGCAACAGCAGCAGCAGCAGGAGCAGCAGCAGGAGACTGTATTCTTATGTGGGGTATTTGCTGTCTTAGGCCTCTGCAGCAGCAGCTACCCTAGCAGCTATAATGCCATGGCTGCTCGTACATATAAGGCATTACGTAAGGTATGCCGCATGCAGCAGCAGCTGCATGAGCTAGCAGCAGACAGCAGCAGCAGCAGCAGCAGCAGCAGCGACAGTAGCAGCAGCAGCAAGGAGGAGCTGCAGCAGCTGCTGCTGCAGCTGCTGCCAGCTAGAGAAGCAGAGGTTGTAGGGACAGTAGGGGAATGTGACGATAGAGGAGACACAGAAGCAGCAGCGCAGCAATGGATGGAGCAGCAGTTGCTGCCTGCTCTGCAGAAGCTGCTGCAGCAGCGCAGCAGCAGCAGCAGCAAATTGCAACCTGCAGCAGGCATGCCGCAGGGAGCAACGGGAAATGATGAAGCAGCAGCAGCAGCAGCAGAAGCAGCAGGGATGAAGGCGGTGCAGATGTGGTTAGACCAGCGTAAGCACTCTTGTTGCTGCTCGTGCTGCTGCTGCTGCTGCTGCTGCTGCTCGTGCTGCTGTTGCTGCTGCTGCTGCTGCTCGTGCTGCTGTTGCTGCAGGTGTTCGTGTTGCTGCTGTTGCCTTCGTTTGTGTTGCTATTGGTGGGGGTCTTGCTGCTGCTTCCTGCTGCTGCCTCACCCGTCGTCTGTAGCAGCAGCCCCTGCTGCTGTTGTTGCTGCATCATCTGCTGCTGCTGCAGCACAAGCAGCTGCTGTTGCTGCAGGGGCAGAAGTATTCCTTGGTGAGTGCATGCAGATAAGCCTCCAACGGTAGTCGTTCTTCGTAAGACAGAAGGTGCAGCAGACGCAGCAAGCGACATGCCCTTAGGGCAGCAGCAGCAGCAGCAGCAGAAGCAGCAGCAGCAGCAGCAGAAGCAGCGGCCCTGCTCAACATCTGCTCGCTTTGCCTTTTCCATGGAGCCGTTGCCGCTGCTGCGCAGCACCGATCTGCTGCAGCGGGAGCCAGCAGCAGTTGACCCAACTGCAGCAGCAGCAGCAGCAGCAGATGCAGCACAATCTGCTGCTGCTGCTGCTGCTGCTGCTGCTGATGCTGATTGCCGCGAGTTAGAGTTTGATGTCTCCTTGTCTCCTCGTCTGCGGTGTCACACAGCAGACACACTATACGTGCTGCCACGCAACAACAGGCAGGAGGTACTTTGCTGCTGCTGCTGCTGCTGCTGCTGCTGTTGCTGTTGCTGCTGCTGCTGCTGTTGCTGTTGCTGCTACAGCTGCTAGATGATAGACAGAAAACCAGACCATCAGGTAGACATGGTTAGGTGGATGACAACCCCCACTGCTGGCGCTCGTGCTATTGCTGCTGCTGCTATTGCTGCTGCTGCTATTGCTGCTGCTGCTGCTGCTGTTGCTGTTGCTGCTGCTGCTGCAGGTATTGTGGTGGTATAATGCCTTAGGGTTTAAGGAGAGAGGAATATCTCTTGAAGATAAAATACATTTCTTAGAGGAGACAGTCCCCTTCCCTACTCCCTGTACAGTAGAGGTAACACCATAATACCTGCTGCTGCTGCTGCTGCTGCTGCTGCTGCTGTTGCTTTTGCTGTTGCTGCTGGTGTTGGTGCTGCAAACTGCCTTGCTGCGCTCACCACGTTGCATTGCCGTTGCGTTGCTGTGTTAATTATGCTTCTATTATTATTCTTCTTGCTGCCGTTGCTGCTGCTGCTGCTGTTGCTGCTGCTGCTGCTGCTGCTGCTGCTGCTGCTGCTGCTGCAGGATGCGCTTTCTCTGTATTGCAGCTATGAGTTACCTAGCCGTACAGAGTTATCTGTCTTTAGTCTTTTTATTAATAATAAACAACAAAGGAGACAATTTATTCAACTTACTACAGACCCCATGGTAAATATACTCTTATACACCCTTCTAGGGTTTAGGGTTTAGGGTTTAGGGTTTAGGTGGTGGGGACTAGGGCTTAAGATAGGGTGAGATGGTTGCTTGCTCGTGCTGCGTTGGTGCACCAGGAGCAGCAGCTGCAGCAGCGGTTGCTGCTGCTGCATACCTGCGTGGACAGTTCGTGCTGCTGTGTGTCTGCTGCTATGTGCTGCAGCAAGGAGACACTTTTGCTGCTGCTATAAGGGGACAGGGTTGGTGTCTCCGTGGTTTATTTGCTGCTCTTGCTCCCTCTATTAACTTAGCAACAGCAGATTTAGGTTTGCTGCTGTTGCTGCTGTCGAGGCACCGCATGCCCCGTGCATACACCCTAGCATCCTCTCACCTGCAGCAACCGCAGCAGCAGCAGCAGCAGCAACAGCAGCAGCTGCTGCAGCGGCAGGTGACACGGACAGCATGCATCTGCCTAAATCGCCATAGAACTCCACGAAAGGATCCTAAGCAGCTGTTGCTGCTGCTGGAGCAGCACGGTGCGTATCTACTGCAGCAGCAGCAGCAGCAACAACAACAACAACAGCAGCAGCAGCAGCAGCAGCAGCAGCAGTTGCTGCTGTGCTTCAGGTGTCTCCATGTGTCTGTGTGTCTCCTCAGGGATTCGTCCCTTTGGGTCTGCTGCTGCTATCCCCTCGGGGATACACGAAGGAGTTTGTTCTTCTTATCTCCTGTCTCTGCAACCAATAGGAGGAGACAGCAGCAGCAGCAACAACAGCAGCAGCAACAGCAAGGAGACAAAGGAGACACCTGTTACTGCTCTTTGCTGCTGCAAACCTTCTTGCTTTAAGCTACCTGCAGGAGGAGACACTCCGTTGCTGCTTGTTGCTGCTGGCACAGGTACCATGATAATCCTGTGGCTTCCTGTTGCTGCTGCTGCTGTTGCTGCTGCTGCTATTGCTGCTGCTGCTGTTCTTCTCGTTTTTGCTGCTCATGTCCTTGACAGTAGCACACAAGACATATCAAAGGTCTACTGTTAAGGGTTTAGGGTTTAGGGTTTAGGGTTTAGGGTTTGTTGTGTTGCAGGCATAGCACCATTTGCTGCATTTGTTCGTCATCTTGCTGCTGTAGGGGGAACGCATGCAGCAGTGTGTCTCTTCTTCGGGTGTATAGGCACCTCTTATTTCTTATATAAAGATTTATTCTTGTCCTATCTAGATCAGCAACAACCGCAGCAGCAAGAGGTGCAGCAGCTGCTAGATATATACAAGCAGCAGCAGCAGCAGCAGCAGCAGCAGAAGCCAGTGCTTAGTCGTTTATTCCTTGCTCTTTCCCGTGCTGATCCAAAGGTATTCCTGCCTCTTGTCCCTCTCCTACTGCCGTGCTGCTGCTGCTGCTGCTGCTGCTCTTGCTGCTGCTGCTGCTCTTGCTGCTGCTGCTGCTGCTTTTCCTGCTACCGCTGCTACCACTGGCTATATACATCTTGTATCAGCACCTGCTGCTGCTGCTGCTGTGAGGGTTGTGCATGCAGCGCAAGGTGTACGTACAGCACAAGATAATAGAAGAGAAGGAGTTGGTGTGGGGTCTGCTGCAGTCAGGTGCTGCCATCTATGTTTGTGGGTAAGCAAGCAGCATCTAGCTGCTGCTGCTACTGTTGTTGTTGCTGCTGCTGCTGCTGTTGGTTCGACTACTGCAGCAGCAGCAGTATTAACTGCTGCTGCTGCTGGTGCTGCTACTGTTGGGGTGTATGCACAGGAAGCCAGCAATGGGGGAAGGAGTGCAGCAAGCATTTGTGTCTGTTGCTGCTTCCTTTGTTGGAGATAAGAAGGCAGAGGCACTCATTCAGCGCATGCATGACAGTACGAAGCTGCTGCTGCTGCTGCTGCTGCTGTTGCTGCTATTGCTGCTGTTGCTGCTGTTGTGGGTGCTCTTACTGGAGTCGCGTATCTGCATGTATGTTCTACAGTTTGCTGCTGCAGTGCTGCTGCTGCCTTGCTGCTGCTTCTTCTGCTGCTGCAGTGTTTGCGCTGCAGCTGCTGCTAAGATCGTTACTGTGCTTGCATGCAGCTGGGCGGTATGTGGAGGAGCTATGGGACTAGGAGGGCCCCCGTTGCTGCTCCTTCTTGCTGCTCTTTGCTGCTCCTTGCTGCTTCTTGCTGCCGCTGCTGTTCGAGCAGCAGCAGCAGATTCTTCAAGCTGGTGTAGTGGGGGGCCCCTTTATGGCCCCCTAAGAGGCCCTTTGGGGGCCCTTATGGGCCCCACAGGGCTCCTTAGAAACAATTGGAGGCTCTCTTGGGGGCCCCCCAGGGCCCTCTGGTACCCCCGACGGGCCCTGTAGGCTGTCTTAGAGTGGATATGCAGCAGCATGCAGGGCATGCAGCCTTGGGCTGGAGTGGTCGCATGCATGCATGCATGGGCAGGAAACCGAGCCTGCATGCATGCATGCATGCAGGTTATATTAGAGGTTTGTAGGAGGGATGTATCTCCTTGGGGAGGAGACAAAAAAGACAAAAGGAGACAAAAGGAGACAAAAGGAGACAAAAGGAGACAAAAGGAGACAAAATAGATATGCAAAGACATCTAACAGTATATATACATTTATTCTTTATGTCCTTGTCTCTCTCTATCCGTACAATATATATAATATCTATGACCATTAAACAGTTCGAGGGCGTAGGGTTTAGGGTTTAGGGTTTAGGGTTTAGGGTTTAGGGCTATACTACCTTTAGATAATTAAGAGGCAGTAAAAACGGCAGGAGGAGGACTCCGTACACCCCACCAAAAGGAGCCTTTCTTTTATAAACAGTAGGATTAGGGTTTAGGGTTTCCTCTCTGGGGTTTATGGCCTAGCTTAGGGTTTAGGGTTTAGGGTTTGGCGTCGCGTCTCTAGGGTTTAGGTAGTGTATGCACCAGGGAACTATTAAATTGTATAGAGACGAACTCAAAACCAACAACCTCAACTAAACAGAGTCTAATTAGTTTGCTGCTGCTGCTGCAGCAACTGCTGCTGCTGTAGTTGCTGCTGCTACTGCTGCTGCTGCTGTCTGTCGCAGCCTTTTTCCTAAGGTGACCATCCAATATGGCGTCGCAGTAGGGTGCGCCTTGATCCTCCTACGTCTAAATAGCTTCTAAGAGCAGCAAAAGAAGAAAAAAATAAATAAATTAAATTAAATTAAATTAAATATAATTAAACGCTTCTATCAAGTGTATATACACCCCAAGTTTGCGTTCGAACCGCACGCCACGCAGCGCTCCGCGGTCCGCTGGACAGGGGGGCCCCCCTGGGGGGCCCCCCATGCATAAATATAAAAGAAATAAAAGGAGCTAAATTACTTTTTTTCTCCTTTAAATACCTTTTAATTAATAAAAAAAAGATAGAAGAAAAGACAAAGTACTCAGAAGCCTCCTGTTATACAGTGGTTGGGGGCTGAGAGCGGCTACTACCGACCACCCTAGGATGAGGGTTTAGGGTTTAGGGTTTAGGGTTTAGGGTTTAGGGTTTGTTTTTCTTCAATTATAAAAAGTGTCACTGAGCTCAATACTGTCACGTTACTCATTTTCCTTCAATAATAAACTGAATCAGCAGCCGTCGCTGCTGTAGCTGCTGCTCCAGGTCTTGTAAGCAGCAACAACGACAGCGGCAACAGCAGCAGCAGCAACAGCAGCAGCAGCAGCAGCAACTGCAACAGCAGCAGCTGCTGTCTTAATTTGCTTTTGTGTCCTGTATTGAAGTCACTGGCCTCATTGGCTGGTGCTATTGACCCTACAACTTGAAAACCCTAGACCCTAAACCCTAAACCCTAAACCACCGCTTGTACTGCGAGTAGTCCTACAGATTAGGGCATAATGACGGGCTCATCTTTGCTTCTTTTCTTTTACTGATAGTTGCTGCATTTTGTGGTGTACGTACACCTGAGGTGGTAACTTTAACGACCTCCTGTAGCGGGAGTGGGCCCCAGGGGGCCCCTGCAGCAACAAGCTGCAGGGCCCGTTAATGTGCCAGCAGCAGAAGCTGTAAACCCTAAACCCTAAACCCTAAACCCTACAAGAGGGGACACGTAAGCCCTCCAACTTCCACTGGGCCAATGGGGACTGTTCAGGGCACAGAGAGGGGAGCAGACTGGGAGCAGCAGCAGCAGCAGCCGCTGCAGCAACAGCAGGAGGAGCAGCAATACGATCAGCAGCCAGGGGAGAAACGGCTCTGGCAGGAGGAGCAACAGCAACAGCAGCATGAGGAGGAGCAGCAGAAGCAGCACGAATGGAGGGAGGGAGCGCAGCAACAGCACGAGCAGCAGCTACACGAGAAGCAAGATGAGCAGCAGCAGCAGCTGCTGCTGCTGCATCGGACAGATCCGCCCGGCTATACGGTGCAACGAGAGAAGCAGCAAGACATGCTGCAGCAGGAGCAGCAGCAGATACCTAACTGCCTACTGCAGCAAGAGCAGCAGCAGCAGCAGCAGCAGCAGCAGCAACTCGTGCAGAGCTATAGAGAAGCCAGCAGTAGTTCTTTCCCCATTGTTGGAGACGAACAGCTGAGGAGACAGCAGCAGCAGGAAAAGGACGAACAGCAACAACAGGGATACGTGCAGCAGCAGCAAGAGCACGAACAGCAGCAGCGGGAGCAGCACCACGAGGACCAGCAGCAGCAGCATTGGCTTGAACAGCAGCAGCCGCAGCAGCAAAAGCAACAAGACAAAAAGGAATATGATAGCCAGACGCAACGGCCAGCAGAGAAGCAAGTGCAGCAGAATCTGCAGCAGCAGCAGCAGGAACAGAAGCAGCAGCAGACGCAGCAGCAGAAGGAACAGCAGAAGCAGCAGCCCCACCTGAAGAATCATCTCCTTTGTGGCCTTGAGCAGCACGAACAGCAGCAGCAGCAGCAGCAGCACGAAGAGAACGTGCAGCAGCAGCAGCAGCAGGCAGCTGCCCCTATATGTGGGGCGAAGGGGTGTGGGGTCGTCCATGAAGGTGGGATCGTCTCTCCGGGATCGGGGATCGTCTGTCCCGGGAGCGGGATCGATTTATTTGTTACTGCAGCTGACGCAGCAGCAGAACCTGTGGGGCAGAAGGCAGCTTACTCTGCTGTATCTACTGAGGGGGCCCCAGGGGCCCCCGTGTCCTCTCCTTTCTTGCTTCCTCCTCAGCCTGCTGGAGTTGAATCAGCTGCAACAGCAGCACCAGATGCAGCAGCAGCAGCAGCAGCAAGAGAAGATGAAGCAGGAGCAGCATTACCAGGAGCAGCAGCAGCAGCATTACCAGCAGCAGACCCAGCAGCAGCAGCAGCAGAATCACCAGCACGACCACCAGCAGCAGCAGCAGGAGGTAGAAGCCGTGGTCGGGTACGTGATATAGGTATAGATGAAGACAGCAGCAGCAGCAGCAGCAGCAGCAGCAGCAGCAGCAGCAGCAGCAGCAAGAATGTAATACGTCGTGATTGTTCAGGATCTGTCTCCTGGCGATTAAGTGATTCTGTCTTTAGACAAAGAATAAGAGAGATATGCGCAAGAGCAGCAAGAAAGGAGACACCTGTCTCCTCTTCATCATTATCT